AAACCTATGGAAAAGCAAATATTTTGATAATTGGGGCTATATTGATAACCATCCAGAAGCTACAACTATCAAAACTGTGTGTATCTGCCCTCGCTGACAGTCTTCTCCTGGAATCCATTCCGAACTCTTTGTAGCCTAGGCAGAATTTACAATCCTCCAGCTTCAGTGACTCCAGTAATTAGAATTACAAGCATGGCTCCCTCTTGCTGTCATTCCCCTTCCCCCTGACAAGGTCTTGTTGTGTAGCCCTGGCTGGTCTTGAACTTGCAGAGAATCCTACTGCCTCTGCCTTCCAACTGCTATTATTTACGGATGATACTCAACCCTGGGACAAATGGTTGGGGTGCCTATTTGATGTGTCAAAGCAGACCTGGCAGCCAGGTTCTGTCAGCATCCCTCAGTCCCTACCTGTTACAGGGTATAGGTGGATCTGGATATACCTTCTCCTCTACCGCCAACCCCCAGTTCCCCTGCTGGTCTCCTGGTCTAGCTCCTCCCCCACGCCCCATCACGTGACTCAGGGTCAAGTCCACTGTGGACTCTTTCAGATGTCCCTGCCTCTGGCTATGTTCTACCCCCCCCCACCGCCTACACACACAGTTATTTTTAGTTTTTTGAGATAAGGTTTCTCTCTGTCTCTGTGTAGCCCTGGCTGATCTCAAACTCAGAGATCCACTTGCTTCTGCCTCCCAAACGCTTGTATTAAAGGCATGTGTTATCACTGCCTGGCTTATGCTCTCTCCCTTTTATCTACAATAAACCTCCTTTGCCATACCTAGGAGCAGTAATGTCTTTCCTTTTTATTTACTTATTTTTTTCATTCATCTGTTGCAGAAACCCAAGACCAGTCATGTCTTTAAGTCCTTTCCTTTTCATTCATCAGGCATGTACCACTATGCTCTGCTTCTCTTGTTGACTCTTAATGCATTCCAGTGGTTCCCTGATTTTTTTAAAAAGATTTATTATGTATACAATGTTCTGCCTGCATATACACCTGCATGCCAGAAGAGGGCACCAGATCTCATTATACATGGTTGTGAGCCACCATGTGGTTGCTGGGAATTGAACTCAGGACCTCTGGAAGAGCAGCCAGTGCCATCTGGGCCATCTCTCCAGCCCCTGTGGTATCTTCTAAAACACAAAAATTTTCAGTGGTGTTTGAAATCCCCTACCTCCTTTTAGGCCCTATGTCAAATTATTTCCCTTTCTATACCCACAAATAAACTGTACTCCCACAGCGCACTCTGGGAGTCCTGAATTTTCTTCCTGCATCTCCGCAGGTCCTCCTGCGGCCACTCAGCCCCTGTGCTGGTTTGAATGAGTGTCTCCCATAGTCTGGGCATTTTGAATACTTGGTCTCCCGTTGGCTGTTTGGAGAGGCTTAGGAGGTGTGGCCTTGCTAGGGAAGTATGCCACTTGGGGAGGGGCTTTAAGAGTTTTTCATTACACCATTTAGTGTTTCCTTTCTCTTTCTCTCTCTGCTTCCTGTTTGCAGTTTGAGCTGTGACTTCTCAGCTCTCACTGCTACCTTCAGTCCCAAGCCTGCCTGCTGTCACACTTTCCCACAAAGACGGTAATGACTTCTTATCTCTCCGGAACTCTCAGCCCCTAATAAACCTTCCTTCTATAGGTTGCCTTGGTCATGATGTTTTATCACAGCAATAGAAAAGTAACGGAGACAGACCCCAACCTACAGCTGCCCACTAAAGCCACTGCACCGTCCGTCTGGAAGCCTCCCACTCTAGTTCCTGAAGAGATGTCATTCTGTCTCCACGCTCTCCCCTGAAGCAGGGTGGGAGGCAGTGCCATTTTATCGCAGATGCCCAAGGCTTGGGTTTTGAATGGGAGGTGCCGGGAGTTGAGGAATCGAGGCGTTTATCCTGTCAGTAGGGGAACACAAATGACAGTGTCAGCTTCCCTGACAGAAAGGGACTGGAGTGAACTCCTTTCAAAGGCCTTGTGGAGACACATATACCGAAGAGTCAACAAGGCTTAGAACAGTAGGGTGCGGCTTGCTTGTTCCGAAAGTCCTGAGTTCAATTCCCAGCAACCACATGTTCTCTTACAACCATTATAATGAGATCTGGTGCACTCTTCTGGTGTGCAGCCAGAACACTGTATGTATAATAAATAATAAAAAATAAAATAAACAATAGAAAAAGAACTGCTAAAAAGCTCTTAAAAAGAAAAAGAAGTACAGGCAGAATTCTAGCCGGCTAAGCTGGAAGTTAGGAGAAACTCAGGCAGGAGAGGGTGCTAAAGAAACAACATGGAGTCAGGTGGTGGCACACGCCTTTAAACCCAGCATTTGGGAAAGCAGAGGCAGGCGGATCATCTCTGAGTTCAAGGCCAGCCTGGCCTACAGAGTGAGTTCCAAGACAGCCAAGGCAATACAAAGAAAAAGAGTCTCAAAGAAAAAAAAAACAAAAACAAACAAACAAACAAAAAAAACGAAAGAAAGAAAAAAAAAGAAAGAAAGAAAAAGAAAGGAGGGAAGAAAGAAAAGAAACAGCATGGAGTCTGTATTCTTAGGATGCTGCCCCGGACGCTGGGCAGACTTCTGTCTTGCAAATAAAGGACACCAGGCTTGCAGTGTGTCCACAGCTCTGAGGATGGGCGGTGTGAAAGGCACATGTGTGGGCTGACACCAGAAAAGCTCAGGAAGCTTCACTCCTGCAATCTGGAGGCCTTCTCCTGCTCTGTGGCCAAGGCCCTTAGTCCCACTGCTGGATGTGGGAGGTGTCAGCCTGCTTCCTGTTATCCGCCTGGTCACAAGGCACTCACTTGGAGGCTGGGCCGGAGAGACGCTAATGTCATTCTTGCTGATAATGAGCCGCTAGCTCAGGGAGATACAGCCCGGACTGGTTCCAGGCGACTGCCCGATTCTGCCCCTCCCTGGTGGTCAGGTGATCCTAGCACTCAGGCCCAGATGGGTACAACACCCACCATTCAGGGCAGTGTTAGGTCTCATGTCGGGACCAACAGCTAGAGGAGGTGCCTATCTGTGCAGTCCACCCAGCTCTCTCAGCATTCCTCAGGCCCTACTTGTTACAGGGTCCTCCGGGCTGACACATCCTGTCCCATCCTAAAATTTCTCCAGCCAGAGCCTGGGCTGCCCTTCCTCCTGCACTATCTTCTTCTATAACCAGGTCTTTTTACCCTTTGGCCCTTTTGGTCTCCTGGCTCTCTCCTCCCCCATCTCCTCACATGGCCTGGCTCAGGGCATGTTCACTTTGGACCCTTCCAGATGCCTCTGCCTAGGCTCTTCCTCACGTCGACAATAAATCTTCTCTGCCATACCTAGGAGCAGTCACGTCCTCTTTTTCTTTTACTTTTTTTTCACCATGCGCTGAGGCCTATGACAGGGCAGTGGTTCCCTCTAGGCTTTCAGCTCAATCTTCAACTCAGATCCTCACTTCGAAGATTACCTATTCAGAATCTGTAGAGTTTAGGAGCATCGCCCAGGGGACAAAACTCACTTTTGCAACAGAGGAGCCATAAAGGCCAGTTAATTATCAGCCTCCAGGCAGAGACAGGTTCTGTTACCCAGGGCCTCCAGCTTTAGGCATGGCTAGATACTAGGACCACCCTTCCCCAATCAGCAGGCTGATCTGGAAGTATATATAAAAAAGGAAGGAGGCCTGAAGGCGATAGAGGTCCTCAACCTCTTGATCTTCAGGAGAGAACAGCTCCTGGGGTGTCGCAGGACTCAGATACACTGCTGAGGCTGTGGAGAAGGCAGCAGGATGGGAGTTAGAGACCTCCTCTGAGCTGGCCTCTTTGTAGGCCTTCCTCTTTTGGCTAATTTTCCCCTAGAAGCCAAACTGCCTCCACTCCTTCCTTCTTTTTCTCTTCTCTTCCTCCTTCTCCTCTAGTTTCTCCTCCCCCCTTTTCTCTTTCTCCTGGCATTCACCTCTCTTATCTGACCTAAGTTTCTATTGAGATAGCTCTCACGCCCATGTTCAACTTGGAGCCTTCCTCTGAAGACACCCGCTCGTGGGCGCGCACACACACAGCTTTACATTTTCTGGTGCTCAAATCCACTCCCAACTTCCTTTTTCAACAGCAGCACCATCCTGGGCTTGAGTAGGGGATGGATAATGGATGTGGGTTGTTCTGTTTGGGCTGCAGTAGGATGTGGGAAGTGTAGAAATTAGCTCAGATCCTTAAAGAACTACAAAGACCCATCATAGGAACGGGAGGTCAGTGAATAGAGAAGGAAAGGATGGGGGGTCTGAGCTTTCAAACCACTGAGGCTGCCTCCTGTCCGAAGATTTAGACCATCAGTGATTTCGTGGCTGGAAGTGGGTGACAGCTGTGAGATGGGGAGAGCTAGTAGCTGGTAGAGGTTAGGGACATGGGCCTGGAGGTGAGAGGCCTGTGTTCTAATGATGGTCCTGACATTGGCTCTGTTGTGGTTCTCTGGATTCCGTTCTATTCATTTGTGTAACAGGACAAGGATGGTGGAAGTAGGTGTGATTATCTCGAAAAACCTTAGCAGCTCAAGACACAAAGTTTGTTTGTTTGGTTTGGGGGGACTGAGTGTTTGGCCTTCCATAGGCTTTCAATCAATCAATTAATCAATCATCAATGTTTTTTGAGACAGGGTTTCTCTGTGTAGCCCTGTCTGTACTGATTTCTCTGTAGACCGGTCTCAGACTCACAGAAATCCTCCTGTCTCTGCCTCCTGAGTACTGGGATGGAAGGTATGCACCCCCACTGACCAGCTGTTTGTGTCTCTGTTGTTTGCAATGCTGGGGATTGAACCCAGGGCCCCACACTTGCTAGACAAGCCCTTGCTGTAACACCCTCCATGACGGAGCCTCCCATCCCCACAGAGGCCTGGCTGGTGCTGCACACACGCAGTAATCACCAGCTGAGGGGCCTTCGCCAGGTCTCCACTCCTGGGCTGCCTTCCCACTGCCCGATCCACAGCCCCCGTCTCCTAGGCCACTAAACCTCACAGTCTCTGGAATAGAGAAAGCAAAGGGAGTCTAGAGCGGAGCTGAAGCCTGAGCCCGCCTGAGAGCTGCCGCCTCCTTTCCCGTGTGTACGGCCTGACTCTTTCCAACTGGGACCACAAACCCTAAGGTACCCGCAGCATATGTTAAAGAATTTACTGAATTGGAAAGGCCTTCTACTGCCTGAAGCCCAGGGAACCCAGAGGTGGAGCCTGAAGCCCAGAGCAGAGCATGGCCGGCCCAAGGTTCAACTGTAAGGTAGTAGTGTCTGTCCTTTAACCAGAACCTAGGCTTCGGCCCCCAAAAGTGTAAGCATGAGGTAGCGGTGGGGCTGTGTCACGGGTGGACTAAGACCTGAGAGTGTGACCGGGGAAATGGCGGTGAGCTTGCAAGACTGTGGTTCACGGGGAGACAGGGCGCTGTTGGAAGGGTGTTAAAACAGAGTTTTAAAAGAGATCACCGACAGCCCCTCGGTGGAGGCACGCACCTTTAATCCCAGCACTGGGGACGCAGGGCAGCCTGGTCTACAGAGCGAGTTCCAGGACAGCCCAGGCTACACAGAGAAACCCCGGCTTGAAAAACCAAAGAAAGAGAGAGAGGGAGGGGGAGGCAGAGGGGGAGAGAGAGAAAGAGAGACATAGAGAGACTGGTAAAGATCGAGTGCGGGTGGGGTGGGTGGGGCAGGGACTTGGAACATTTTAGCAATGTGGAGCATCTCGCAGGGGGAGGGGCTGTGGAAAGGGGTCAGTCTTGGGTGGGTAGTCCCTGCTGTGCGACTGGGAGCTTGCCCCAGTCGGTCCACGCAGATGAAATTGGCCCTTATTTGGAGACTGTTTTTTTATCTTCTACGTTTAATCCTCCGGTGAAGTGGCCTGAAGAGGTCTGTGTCTGTTTTCCGCATGGCCAAGCAGGAAGGGGAGAGGGGCCCCTGGGTTGGGCCAGGCTTTCTGAGCTTTAACCCGTGCTCCCAGTAGCAGGGCTTGTCTTACTCTGCGGGAGCTGAAGACACACCTGGTGCTCCAAAAGCACTGTTTTCCCGGGCCTGAGTTTGGAGATTAGAGTAAGTAGATTAACAGAGGCATGGCTGGGTCCTGGAATGAGTGATTTAACTGAGAGAATGAGTGCCTAGGCATTGGGATAAACAGACGTCTGGATGGCTCTGGTGGTGTTAGCCTGTAATCCTGTCTGCTCTGGAGGCTAAGGCAAGAAAATTAAAAATTCAGCGGGGGTCTCAGGAGGCTGAGGCAGACAGAAGATCTCTGTGAGTTTGAGACCAGCCTGGTCTACAAAGTGAGTCCAGGATAGCCCAGCCTCGGCTACACAAAGAAACCCTGTCTTGAAAAAAAAAAAAAAATCGGAAAGAAAGAAAAGAAGGAAAGAGAAAAAATGGGTAGCAGACTGGACTGGGCCGTGAGAGGAGGGAGATGAGGGCAAGAGGGAGGGGACCAAGACAGGAAGACAGGAGACCATAGCTGAAGTACCAGGATTATACGGAGAAGTGGGAGGGAAGTCCATAAGCCAGAGACCCTTAAAAGGGGGGACAGGGTGAGCAGGACTGAGGAGAGATCGGGTGGTGATGCCCAGTGAACACGCCAGCTAGCGTGAGCTTTGGTAGCACCACAGATAGCCTGGGCTTCTTTTGGACCTGACAGGAAGTACATTTGCTTTACCAACTCTTGAATGAAACATGGACTTGGACTTGAGGTGGAGAGGAGAATTTGTGGGAAATAAATCTGGAATATTTGGGTAGCGGGCAGGTACAAACTCTCCCAAATTTAGTGTCTTCAGTTAATTGATAGTAGGATGGCCAAGGGAGCACCAGCTCTGTGGGAGGGAGCGCCTGGGACTCCCAGGGCTGTCCAGCTGGCTGTGAACGCCTTTGGGTCTCCGTTGGGGCCCATTGGGATGCCTGTGCTGTTGAAATGCTCAAATGATAGATAGGAAAGGGCTGAAAAAGAAGGGAAGCAAAGGCTGGACAGTGGCGCACACCTTTAGTGCAGCAGAGGCAGACAGATCTCCGTGAGTTCGAAGCCGGGCTGGTCTACATAGTGAGTTCCAGGACAGCCAGGGCTACACAGAGAAACCCTGTCTTGAAAAAAGCCTAGGTGTGGCTGCATGTGTTTATACTTCCAACTCTAGGAAGTTAGTGGGAATCTTTTCAGTTCCCCTCCTCTGCCCCACCCCAGACAGGGTTTCTCTGTGTGTCCTGGCTGCCCTGGCACTCTCTGTAGCTCAGGCTGCCTCTTTCTCCTGAGTGCTGGCTCAAGCCACTGCTTGCCTTGAGCTCAGGATTTCAAGGCTAGTCTGGACCTACAAACAAACAAACAAACAAACAAACAAAATTCCATAAATCTTCAATTTCTTTGTAGCTTCTTAAGGTTTTGTTTGTTTGTTTTGTTTTGAGACAGGGTCTCACTGAGTTAGACCTGGCTGTTCTGTAACTCAAAAAGATCTGCCTGTCTTTGCCTCCCCGGTACTGGGATCAAAGGCATGTGCCACCAAACTAAATACCTTTTTTTTTTTTTAACTGTCCATTGGTGTTCTGCCTGTGTGTATGTCTGTGTGAATGTCTGTGTGAGAGCGTTGGAGCCTCTGGACCTGGACAGAGTTACAGACAGTTGTGAGTTGCCGTGTGGGAATTGAGCCCTGGTCCTCTGGCAGAGCAGACAGAGCTTTTAACCACTGAGCCATCTCTCTAGCCCCAATACCGGCTACTTTTCCAGAGGACCCACATTAGAGTCCCAGCACCCACATGATGGCTTACAATCATCTCTAACCCTAGTACCAAGGGATCTGATGCCCTCCTCTGGCCTCTGGGGACACTGCATGCAGGTGGTATACTGGCATACATTCAAGCAAAACACTCAAGCACACAAAGATAATTACTAAATCTCCTTTTTTCAGAGTGGGTCAGTGTGACAAGTGCTTCCAGGAGCTAGTTCTGTCTAGATCCTGTTGCACTGGTGGTCATGAAGTTGAAATTATGAGAAAAAAATGAGCTTTATATCGTCCTTCATGACTTCTGTCCTCTGCCTACCTCCTTTCTCATCACCTAATTTTACACTTTCGGTTTCCTCTCTAAATTTCAAGACTTTTAACCTATACTTGAATCTTGTATCACCTTTTATAAAATCTTCAAAATTTTTTCACACTGAAACATTTGCTCTCAAGGATTTTGAATATGAGCATGAGTAAACTTTATTTTTGCAAATTGCCCATCTCTTCTTTTTGAATTGCTTTGTCTGCAATTTGTCTGATGTTAAAAAGGATCTGACCAAGCCAGTGTAATTCCAGCACTCAGGGAAGCAGAGTCAGGAGGATCTCGGCAGGTTGGAGGCCAGCCTGGTCTACAAAGTGAGTCCAGGACAATCAAGGCTACACAGAGAGACCCTTCTCAAAAAAACAAAAACAAAAACAAACAAACAAAAAAAAACAACCAAAGGAAAAAGGCTCTGACCTGACCAGTGATTGTCTCCCGGGCGTCTGATTCTCCCAGATTCTGGGTAGACTGACAGGAGGAGGTGACACAGGTCCACGAGCGCAGGCTCCGCCCACAGCAGCTGAGCTCAAGCTTGGAGGCTGCACCTACCATAGTTCTCCCTTCAGGGTCCGCCATGGCTCGCCTGAGGACGGCGCAGCTGCTGCTCCTGCTGATGTGGGTGGCCGAATGTGCCCAGTCCAGGGCTACTCCGGCCAGGACTGATCTTCTCAATGTCTGCATGGATGCCAAGCACCACAAAGAAAAGCCAGGCCCCGAGGACAGTCTACACGACCAGGTAGGGTGAAGGGTGATGTGGCTGGCGGAGAGCTGGCGGCGGGTCGGGAGAGAGAAGTCCCAGTCTGTGGTGGAGGTGGGCAGACCCTCCTGAGGAGACCTTCGGGTCTCTCTGACATCGGTGATTTTGACGGTAAATGTCAGCTGCCAGATATCAGTGTAATACCAGCAGCTCACCTTCTTGGTAGCTGGGCTTTGGCTGTGAACAAATAGGGAAGTAGGTTCGTGGAAGAGTCTGGGAGCTGGAACAGGTAGACCATTGTGATGGTTTTAGGTTCAGGTTGAGAAGGACTCCTCTGCCTCTGCAGGGTGTGGGAAGAGGCTGCCCACAGCCCACAGTTGCTCTTGTCTGCCAGCATTTGAAGTCTTGAGAAGACTCTCCCTGTCTGTGAGACTGGCTGACGAGCATTTGGAGTCAGACATCTGGCAAACATCTGGACTGTGGGCCTCAGCTCGAGGGCTTTGAGTCTCTGTGTCACAACAGTTGTTTATTATCACAAACCTCCCTACACATTTAATAAAATCAGTGAGTTGTAACAACTGTAAAGTAAGACAACAGAAGGTCGGCTACTGGGGAGTCTGAGACAGGATAGCTTCACCCTGGGGACTTTGCAGTCGGTGTCGGCAACAGCAAAAGATGAGGGCTGCAGAGTTGGCGCGGTGGCTAGAAGCACTGGTCCCACTCGCAAACTACTGAGGTCTGCTCCCCAGCATCCGCACGGTGGCTAGCCACCATCCGTAACTCCTGTCTCTGGGGTGCGATGCCCTCTTCAGGCACAAGCATGCAGGTGGTGCAAAACAGTCACACACGTGAAACAAATAAAGCTAGCAAACATGTAAGCAGACAAGCCGGGCTGGGTATAGATCAGTCGACAGAGGACCTGCTCAGCATTCACAGGTCTCAAAGTTGGATCTCCAGCACCACGTAAAACTGGGTGTGTTGGCACGTAGCTGTAATCTCAGCCCTGGGAGGCAGAGACAGGAGGATCAGAAGCTCAAGGCTACCTTCAGCTACATCCTGAGTCCATTGCCAACCTGGAACACATGAAATCCTGTCAAGAAATGGGGAAAACAGAGGAGAGAAAGAGAGTTCTTTTATTTGTTTTTACAGGGTTTTTACCATGTGATTCTGGCTAGCCTACCTCTGCCTCATGAGTGCTGGGATTAAAGGTGGACCACACCCGAAAGTACTTTTAAAAACAAAAGTAGGGCTGGAGAGATGGCTGGCTCGGCGGTTAAGAGCATTGGCTGCTCTTCCAGAGGTCCTGAGTTCAATCCCCAGCGCCCACAGGGTGGCTCACGACCTTCTATGCCCTCTACTTCCCTCTGTGTACAGGTGCACGTTCAGATAGAGCACTGATATGATAAAAATAAATAAAATCTTAAAACAAATGAAAGGAAAGCAATTTGTATCCCATACTTCAATATAGACATGATCATCTTGACTCCATCCCTGAGAGCCATCACAGGTCTGTTTGGTGCTTTTTTTTAAATGGATTTATTTTTATGAGTACTTTTGCCTGTACCTGTCTGTGCATCAAGTATGTGCAGAGCCGAAAAGCACACGTTGGCTTCTCATAACTGGAGAGGAAGGTGGTTGTGAGCCTCCATGTGTGTGCTAGGAATTGGATTCAAGTCTTCTGCAAGAGCAACAAGTTTGCTCTCAACCTCTGAGCCATCTCTCCATGTCCTATTTGCTGGTCTGTTTGTTTATTGTAATAATATTTTAGCCAAATAGTGGAGGCACACGCCTTTAATCCCAGCACTCAGGAGGCAGAGGCAGGTGGATTTCTGAGTTCAAGGCCAGCCTGTTCTACAGAAGAAAGAAAAAAAACCTAAATAAATAAGCAAACAAATAAATAAAATTTTAAGATTTATTCTTTGAGAACGACATACATGCATACAATGTATTTTTATCATATCTGACCCAATCGGACAACTGACCTCCTTGGAGTTCTTCTAATTTGTCTTTTTCCTTTCTTTTTTATAAACTATTAGAGAATGGCCAACCTACCAGACACCCAACAAAGATGAGTGACTCTCTCTTCCCTAGAAGCTGTCAGCTGCCAGTAGCTCCTCAGCTAGGAGTGCCACCTCTGTCCTTCCCCTACCCACACTGCTGATGTTTTTTTGTTTTGTTTTGTACTGAGTACTGAGTTAAAGCTGTGTGCCTCCGTACCTGGTGCTGGTATTTTGAATCACTGAACACACAGTTGCTAGTTTCAGATTGAGCAGCGGTGACCTTTAAGCAGCCTTAACTTATACTTATTCAAGCTCTATTTTCTTTTCAGTTATTTTTATTTTTGTCATTTGGAAGGCAGAGGCAGGCAGATCTCTGTGACTCTGAGGGCAGCCTGGTCTACAGAGCACATTCCAGGTCAGACAGAGCTACATAATGAGACCCTGTGCCATAAATAATAAGTTTATTTATGTGTAGGTGTGTGTGTCTGTGTGAATGAATGCCGCACACATAGGAGTGCCGGTGGAGGCTGAAAGAAGGTGTCAGATCCTTTGGCACTGGAGTTGCAGGCAGTTTTGAGCCAGGACGTGGGTGTTGGGCAGTAGACTCTTAACTGCTGAGTCATCTATCTTCTAGATTTTTTTTTTTTTAAACAACAAAAATAGGTATGGTGCCACATGGCTTTTAGCCTACCACTCCGATGGGTAGAGGCATGCAGATCTCTGAATTTGAGGCCAGCAGGTCTACATAGCAAGTTTCAGGACTACATAGAGAGGCCTTGTATACTCTTCCTTCACTAGTAAGTGTGTGTGTGTTGCGTGTTTATGTAAGCGGAACTGTTCTCCAGGTTTTTGTCATTCTCTCAGTGAAGTTTGTCTGACCATCTGGTGGTGCTGCAAGTCCACACGCCTTTATTTAGTTAGTTTCCAAAACAATTGGCATGCTGTGTTTATCATTTTATTCCTTATTTCCTAGAAAAATGCCTGGCTTAGGGTGGGTTAGGACTCACAAAGACTTGAATTAAAAACCTGGGTGTGAACTGAGCCTGGTGGCCCATCCTGTAACCCCAGCACTCAGGGAGGCAGAGACAGGCTGGTTTTTGTGAGTTTGGGGCCAGCCCAGTCTACAAAGAGAGTCCAGGACAGCCAGGGCTCCACAGAGAAACCCTCAAAACTGGGTGTGTTGCCAGCCATGTTGTTGTTAAGCCTATCTGTGTGAATGACAACCTGGCCCATATCGTGAATTCCAGGCCAGCCAGGGTTACATAGTGAAAACCCGGCTTAAAATAATAATAAGTTATTATTATTTGGCACATAACTGTAATATCACCACTTGAGAGGCAGAAGTAAGAGATCCAGGAGTTCCAGGCCATTTTGGCTACAGTAAGAGTCTGAACGCAGCTTAGACTCTGTGAGGCTTTGTCTCAGGAAGAAAGGACTGGGGAGACAGTACTTGCCTCACAAACACGAAGCCTGGGGTTACAGACCAGACGACAGGGCCGAGGTAGAATGGGCTTGTGATCTCCAGGCCAGTGAGAGACCTGCCTCAGAGGAGGTGGACAGATTCCCTGAGGCTGTCTTCTGACCTCCACACTTGCATGTGTGTAAGAAAAACATGCCAAAGGAAACAACATGAGAGCTGGGTGCAGTGGCGAATACCTGTAATCCCAGCTCTCAGGAAACCCTGTCTCAAAAGGACAACAAACAAGCAAAACAAAACAAAAAAGAAAAATTATGTGTAAATTTATGATTTTTTTTTTTTTTTTTTTTTTTTTTTTGAGACAGGGTTTCTCTGTATAGCTCTGGCTGTCCTAGAATTCACAGTATAGACCAGGCTGGCCTTGAACTCAGCGATCCACTCGCCTCTGCCTCCCTGGGATTAAAAGTGTGAATTAGTAAATGTTTTAAATTATTTTTTATTTTATGTGTCTGAGTGTTTGCCTGCTTGCATGTATGCACGTCCATCGCCTGTGTTCTCCAAGGCTAGGAGAGGGCATTAGCTCCTTGGAACAGGAATTACACAGTTGTGAGCTGCCGTGTGGGTGCTGGAAACCAAACCCTGATCCTCTGCAAGGGCAGCCGGAGCCCTAACCCACCGAGCCTTCTCTCCAGGGCTCACGAGATATGAATTTTGTTAGGGCTGTCCCTGCCGAGCTCCGGCAGCCAGCAAGGGCCGGGCAGCAAGGACGTCCCCTGAACTAGGCTAGGCAATCAAGGGCTGCGCGGCGCAAGGCCACGTGCGTAACGTCCTGTCTGCGCTGGGCGGACGCCTGGCCCTGTCTTCGCCACACAGTGCAGTCCCTGGAGGAAGAGCGCCTGCTGCTCCACCAACACGAGCCAGGAAGCGCACAAGGACGTTTCCTACCTGTACCGATTCAACTGGGATCACTGCGGTAAGATGACACCTGCCTGTAAGCGTCACTTCATCCAGGACACCTGCCTCTACGAGTGCTCCCCTAACTTGGGGCCCTGGATCCAGCAGGTAGGAGTGTCCCCCTCGCCTCCGCCTCCAGCTGCGGCCCGCCCCGGCGGCGTTGCTGAGTCCAAAGCCTTCCTCCCCGCCTCAGGTGGACCAGAGCTGGCGCAGAGAGCGCGTCCTCGACGTCCCCCTGTGCAGGGAGGACTGTCAGCAGTGGTGGGAGGACTGCCGCTCCTCCTTCAGCTGCAAGAGCAACTGGCATGAGGGCTGGGACTGGGCCTCGGGTGAGGCGTGGGTGCGCCGGGGGAGGGCCTGGGGCTCCCAGCGGGCGCGGCCGGAGCAGCGCCGGGCGGGCGCGGTGGCTGAGGTCCTCTGTCGGTTCCCTAGGGCAGAACCAGTGCCCCGCGGGCGCCTCCTGCCGTCCCTTCAGCTTCTACTTCCCCACCCCTGCCGCTCTGTGTGAGGAGATCTGGAGTCACTCCTACAGGCTCAGCAACTACAGCCGAGGGAGCGGCCGCTGCATCCAGATGTGGTTCGACCCCGCCCAGGGCAACCCCAACGAGGAGGTGGCGAGGTTCTACGCGGAGGCCATGAGCAGGGCCGGGCGTCAGGGGGCCTGGCCACTGGTGTGCAGCCTGTCCTTGGTGTTCCTCTGGGCGTTCAGCTGAGTCCCTTCCCACACCTGGAGCTCCCTGCTGCTCTGACAGCTCTCTAAATAAACCAGACATTCCACATGTGCCTTGTGAATTATTTGGGGCCGAATGAAAATATAATTATTTCAAGCCGGGCGGTGGTGGCGCTTGCTGTTCTTCCAAAAGGCCTGAGTTCAATTCCCAGCAACTACATGGTGGCTCAGAACCATATGGAATGAGATCTGGCGCCCTCTTCTGGCGTTCAGGCACGCATGCAGGCAGAATACTGTGTAAATCATAAATAAATCTCACAAAGAGGAAGGTTCAGAACCACCAGGTCTGTCAAACCTATGGCCACTGCAAAGACCTTCATGTCTTATAACCAGTTTGTACTTCTGGAAGGGTGTGTTAGCCTTATTGTCTCTGTGACAGAATAACCAAGGAAACAACTTACTGGAAGACGATGTGTTTTGGCTCGCAGCTTCAGGTAGTCCCATTGTTTCTGGGCCTCTAATGAGGCAGACCATCAAGGTCGAAGGACATGTGGCTGAGGAAGAGATCACTGAATTATGGTGGCCAGGAGGTATAGAGCGAATGACTAGGTGTGTGTCTCCGGGGCATGTCCCCAGTGACCTACTCCCAACCAAGTCCCACGTCCTCCTCTCTACCTCCCAAGAAAGACACTGGGTGATTTGTTTTGTAGTTTGTTTATTTTGAGACAGTGTCTCACTCTGTAGCTTGGGCTGCCCTGAAATTCCTATGCAGTCCAGGTTAGCTTTGAACTAATGACAGTCCTCCCTCAGCCTCCCAGGTACTGAGATTACATGTCCAGCTTGCCATCATATTATTCATCCACCAATGGATGAGTTCATTGATTAGGTCAGAGCCATCATGCTCTAATTCTTCTTCAGTAGAACTTCTAACAAGGGCCAAGCTTTCGCCAAGATTCTTTTATTTTTTTAATTAGTTTTTATTTATTTGTGAAAAGGCCCTACTATATAGCCCCAGCTGGCTTGTATGCAGGCCAGGCTAGTCTCAAGTTCACAGAGATCCATCCACCTCTGACTCCTACCTGTTGGCATTGAAGGTTGTACTACCACCCCTGGCCCAATTAGTTTTTTAAATGGCTGTGCATAAATTTGCACACCCTGTGAGTGCAGGAGGCCAGAAGGAAGGTCCTGTGCCTGGAGCTGGTGTCACAGACGGTTGCGATCTGCCATGTGGGTGAGGGGCTAGGAACCAAACTCTGACCCCTGCAAGAGCAGGCATTTTAAGCATTGAGTCATCTCTCCAGCCCAAAGTTCCTCCTGTAACTTTTCCTCGGGGTCCCAGTGAGGAGGGCTCGCTCTGTGAACCTATGCAAATGACTATATCAGCATGAAAAGCAGAATAATTCACCGGTAACCACCCGAGTCTTATGACAAGACTCAGTACAATGGTAGATTGTACTGTAGAAACAGAGGAAGTCTAGTCTCTGAGTTTGAGGCCAGCCTGGTCCATGTAGCAAGTCCCAGGGAACCCAGGACTATATAGTGGGATCCTCTCTCAAAAGATAAAGAACAGGAAAGGCGGTTGAGACCAGGGGGACAGGGTACAATTGGTCCAGGAGGAACACTGTTCTCCGAGCAGGCTGCAGAAAAAACCAGTTGAGACATTTAGGGGAGTTGCCCACTGACCAAGGACTTTTTAAAAGAATGTTTATTTCAGCTGGCACAAGTATAGCCTGCTAAATTGAGGGTTACAGAGCAGAACAGGGAGGGAGGGAGGGGCTATCATATGACTAATCAGAAAAATATGTACGTATGAAGTGCATTACCAAAATAACAAGATGATAACCACAATCTCATCTCCTTCCCTAGGTTGACTCACTCCTTTAAAATCATTTCTTGGGTCAGCATCTCTCTCCATTTCTTCTGCCTAGTGGCTGGAAGTTTTCTGGAAACCCAAGTCTCAGGCCTCAAAGAGTTTGACTCATCCAAGTGTTTAAGGCAGTGATGTCAGTTGCGTGAGTCTGCTTTCTGTAAACTGTGGGAGGGATCTTTAGACAGACAGGAAGAGAGAAGAGAAACCACCTCTGCATATCAGATGGGGTTAACCTATTAATGTCCAATACCAGAGCGAAAAGAGGCCAGGTAGTACTGCTGGTCCACGCCTTTAATCCTAGCACTTGGGAGTTTGAGGCCAGCGTGGTCTACAGAATGAATTCTGCACAGAGAATTCTGTCTCAAAAACTAAAAAACAAAACAAAACAGGAAAACATACACACGCACAAAAATGCCAAACCCAAAAACCAACCAGCCAACCAAAAAACAAAACAAAACCCAAAACAAAAACAAAACAAAACCAAACCCAGAAAACAAAAACAAAAGAAGAGGAAGAAGACACAAAGTTTAGACTTCTCATCCGATTTAACCGACTTCTTACTGAATTCTGAGCTGGCTTTGCCTGAGTGCTGGGATTCCATCTGCACCACCAGCTTCTGTTCACAGCATGCACATGCGGCCTACAACAGCCTGCAACTCCAGTTTCAGAGGTCCGGTGCCCCCTGCTGGCTTCTTCGGTCATTGCCTGAACACGGAGCTCAGACACATACACAAGCAAAACAACTCTCTGTACACAATTTTTTTAATCTCAAAATTTTTTTTTTTATTTAGCTCGACAATAAGATTACTAGAGATCATGGGATGCTCTTATCTAGAGAGACCCAGGATCAGCCGGGTGTGGTGGTGCACACCTTTGATCCTAGTGCTCAGAGAGGCAGAGGCAGGCAGGTATCTATGAGTTCAAAGCCAGCCTGGTCCACAAAACCTAAAACCTAAAACCTCGAAAAACCTAAAAACAAAACAAAACAAAAGACCTGGGATCACAGCCATATCTTTCATTTTATGTAACAATCCATCTAATGGGAACGAGCACCACTGTTTTTGTTGTTTTGAGACAGGGGTTCTCTGTGTAGCCCTAGCTGTCCTGGAACTTATTATGTAGACCAGGCTGGTTTCGAACTCACAGAGATCCAGCTGTCTCTGCCTCCTGAGCGCTGGGATTAAAGGTGTGTGATGTTGTGGTTGGATTGGTCCGTTTCCTGATGGGGTGGGAAGGTGTCCAGCCTTCTGGTACTCAGACAGAAGGGTGTACAGGAAACCCACGGCTCCAGGGCGTGAATTGGAGTCTGAGGTGGGAGAGAGACCCAGGGAGGGTTGCCTGGAGCTGAGCTGCATCGGCTGGAGAAGGAGAGAGCTCAGGCTCCTAGGCTCCTCAGCTCATCAGGGATTGGGGTAGCCCCCGCAAGGAGCTGCAACATCTCTGCTGAGGGGGCCTCCTCTCAGAGCTGTGAGGTTCCCGGGCTCCCGTGCCTCCGGATACCCTTGGGACACCTCAGAGCTGGGATACCTTTCCAGTCCTCGTAGTTCGTGACTTGGATTTGCAGCCTGGGAGTTGTGAGTGATCTGGACACCCTTCCCTCTGAGTACCAGAAGGCTGGACACCTTCCCACCTGACCAGGAAGGCAGGCCAGCCAACCAACCAGCCCAACACAAACGTAACAACTCGGAGCACTACGCCTGGCCATGTACAGTGAGTGGTTGGAGCGCTTAGTTAGCACACACAAGTCCCTGAGTTCAATCCCTAGAACAACAAACAAGCAGAACCAAGACCAACCAACCAACCAACCAACAAAAACATTATAACTTCTCTAGAAGTAGGGAACCTTCTCACTGGGTTATGTTAAGGCATGATCTGAGAATTTGACATGAGTCAGTACAAAAGCAAGCAAGAAAAACAAATTAAAAAAAAATAACAGATTTTTTTGAGAAGTGAAAGTTCACTTTTAGGTTGAGTAAGGACTTAAATGCTGTAGTCAGGGGAAAACACACACAGGAAACAAAAACCACTTTCATATCTTCGTGTTAAGAATAGACTACACTCTGGGCGGCCGATATCATTTAAAGCTTTATACTTCTTAAAATAGAAGTAATCTGAGCCAGCACTCTTCGAAGGACAGAGGAAGGACACCTGAGAATCCATTCCTTCCCCCAAAGCAGCGAGAGCCCTGGCAAGAGTCAGCGCTGGATTTTTCTAGAACTCTCAAAATTAACCAGAGCTTTCAAAAATGGAAGAAACAGAAAGGGCTTTGGGGGAGCCGGGTCTGGTGGAGCAGAGGGCAGCCTGATCTCATACAGAGGCCTGGGCCAACTGGGCCTGCACAGGGAGACCCTGTCTCCAGACAGTACCAGAGGTTGGATAACAGGTGGCTTATCTATCTACGGCTCTTCCAGAACAGTGGTTAGGAACACCGGCCGCTCTTCCAGAGGACCTGGTTTGGTTTTTAGCACCCACATGGTGGCTCCTAACTGTTGTTTTTAACAAAATCTCAATTGTTCGATTGTACAGACTGGGAAGCCACATGCTAGGGGGAAAGCCTGCTAGCTTCAAGAGGCAGGGAAAACAGCCACGGACCTTTCCTCCTCAGTTGACATCCCAAAAAGGAAAAGCCTTCTCCTTCCCCATGCTGTCTCACAAATCCCCTCAAACTGAATGTCCCTCCCTTCTTCTTCCTGTGTCTCTATCAGTTCTCCTGACTTCCTTTTACTCTGTGTTTTGTTTCCTATGTTCACTTCCTGTCAACTGGTTGCTTGTTCCACCTCTTGACCTGTGGTTGACTTTATTTAATCCTGTTTACTATATTCCAGTAGAAAGCTCTTGGATTAAAGGTGTTTGCTAGGGCTGAGCCACACCACAACTAGAAGCAGGTTTTTCCAGTACACAACACAGAGTGATCAAATATCCTGCAACACATAACCATCTATAATTCCAGTTCCAAGGGATCTGATGCCATTTTCTGACCTCTGAGGGCACCAGGTATGCATTTGGTAGACACACACATACATGCAGGCATGATACTCATATACATAAAATTTTAAAAATCAAAAATACTAAAATAAAAAATATATAGCCGTGTGTTGGAGAGATGGCAGAGTTCCTAATGTGACTGCTCCGGTTCAACTCTCTTAGACTAAGATGTATGTAACTTACTTTTTATTTTACAGGAACCCACAGTTAAGAGAGTTTGGGTGTTCAGAGAGACTCAGTATTTTAAAGAGACTTG